ATGAAATAAATAAATAAAATTTATTTTTATATGGTTATTTTTACATTTATATTTATTGATATATAATATGTGTTTATATATTATTTATAATATAAATGTTTTTGGAGATAGAGAGTTGTCAAATGGGCTGTGACCCTCACTAAGAACCGTTGATCTACAACATCATAAGGCATGCCATGAGTCATCATTGCAAATCAAGGAAAAGACAAACATGCCAAGAGAATTAATGAGCAGACTGAGCCTATTAAGTACCATGAGAGTCATGACAGCCACCTGAAATGGGTGAAGGAAAACCATGAGAAGAAGAAGAAAAAAAAAGCCCACGATAAAGGCACCTGGGTTCAGCTGAGGAGTCAACCTCCTCCACCCAGAGAAGTACGGTTTATGGAGACTAAAAAAAAAGGAGCCAGGGCTGTTGAGCTGCTGGAGTCCATTCCCTCTGAATTCGTGACTTAAAGTACAAAAAGAAACAGTGAACCTAGAGTGTTAAAAAATTTAAAAAAAAATATATATATATATATAATCTTGTTAGGCAGTTCCCTATGAATTAGAGAGTGTTAACATGGCTTGAGTTTCCAGTTTATTTTATGATTAGAGTTCTTGGTTTCTTCTGGTGATTTCAGACAAGTTAAGGACATTTTCATGTGACACTGATTCCCACACAACAGCTCAGAGGAGAAGCTCCATTTCTCCCATTAAAAAGCAAAATAGAAATCTACCCAGCAGTTCATGAGTGAGTAGTGACTTTGTCATCTCTCTGACTTCATTCCACCCTCATCTTCCTGGAGGTACCGATTCATCCTCATCCCTCATGCAGAATTGTTCTGCCCACATCCGGCTTCTTTAGCATCTCTTTTTCTGGGCCAAGCATCCATTCAGGTATTTTCCCACACAAACAGAACTCTTTTCTCATGAAAATTTCTCTTTTTACATATATATTTTTAAGACTCTCACAAAACATACCCAGATAGTTTTAAAATTACCCATATCACAAATCTTAACACTGTGGTATCTTTTGCTCCAGTTGTTATTATATAACTGGGCTCATTCTATATATACATTTATTTTGTATTCTGCTTAAGCATTTTATGCATTCTATTATAGAAAATTGTCATTGCTGCCAGGATGTATCAGGAAAAAAACAATTTTCAATTATTTTTGTAGTATTTTTGCTATATTGGCTGGATGAGTTTGCTTAAAAGTCTCTTTCTGGTTAGATTTTGGGTTCTATATTGTCATTTTCCTAACTTGTGTTATAGTAAATACTTTTATTCTTATTTAAAAATATAATACTCAGCTTAGTAAATGCTAGGCAAGCACTGTAATAAGTGTTTTCACACACAGTTCTTCACTTTTTTTTTTTTGCTATTATATTGGGATGAATCCAGGTAGAGACTTGGAAGGCTGAAGAAAAAGACTATCTTAAGTCTTAAGATAGGTACTTCTGAAGTGCTTCTCGAGAGATTGGAAGTGACACGATTAGATACAAGATTTTCTCTTGACAGATAATTCAAGTAGCAGACTCTATGGAAGAGATAATTAGAATCTAAATCGAACGGTGGCAGTGGGGTGCTGGGAGAGTATTGATATAGAGACAGGAATGGGAGTCAGCGATATTTCTAAAACAGCCAGGAGGACTTGGTAGCTAGGTTTCGGGGATGAGAAGCAGTGACGATCAGAGGCTACTCCCCTACCTATCTGCCTAACTAAGGCAATGCTGATTTTTTTTTTTTTAGTATAGAAAGAGATGATGGTTAAGGTGTGCAGATGTGCGGGGGAGGGGAGGGGAATAATTTGGCACGGGACTTACTTTATTTGGATCATATGCCAATTTTTAAAAGCTTTGGGTGGGATCTAATAAGCTTGCGGAATCATTGTTCTCAGGCAGGGGACGTCTGTTGTTTTTGCCAGTCTGACATCTGGTACTCCTTCACAGGAGGAATTCTGGGTGCCAGTCAGTTTTAGAAGGAGGCTTGTCTCAGGGCTGCATTTATTTACACCTGTTTTTAAATTAAATTGCAGGTGTCTTTGGTTTGGTAAATGAAGATGGGGGGAGATTAAGCATCCAGTCAGACCTGAGGATCACTAGTGGCACCCATCCTTAATCTGCTAATGCCACTGGAAGAGTTGGTCTTCCACACCCTCGCTTCCTATGTCTGTGACACACCTGGCACTTCTCTGTGGCTTCCAAGAAGGATCCACAACTCAAGTCAGCTAATTGGAGACAACGAAGTTGATGTCTACTAATTTCCAGGGGAAGACCAAAAATTAAAGCTGTTTCCATCTATAGATGGAGCTGTTGGCAATTATTCTCCTTGTCTGGCAGTTGACCCAACACCAAGTAAATCTAGGTTAGTTCTAATGACCTAGTTCTGATCGGCATCCTAGGATTCAAGTATGTTGATGCCAGTTCTTGGATTTTTCAGTCTTTTGAGACGCTATGATTCTCTTTAATCTTAAGGTAGTTTACAACCAAATAAGTTCTGACTAACACAGTAATACAGTACAGGTATCAGAAAAATGATTGTTTTCAGATAAAACCAAAAGGAGTCCTACTGTGAGTACATAATATTTTGTTTTATATTTAATGGTTGACATAGAAATAAGGAATATCTGTGTTAGGTTCTGTTTCCAAATAAGAGTGATCAAAGGCAGTTGTAGAAATTAAAACATATTACAATTAGTAACTGCCTGAAGTTGGTAGCTAGCTAGACTAGCATACATTTTAGTTAGTTATATTTTGCTTTGCTTCACGCGCACATGCGCGCGTGCGCGCGCGCACGTGTGTGTGTGTGTGTGTGTGTGTGTGTGTGTGTGTGTACTTGCCTTTGCATGTATGAGTAGAGGCCAGAGATCCATGCAGGATATTTTCCTCTATGCATCTTGTTTAATTTTTAAAATTACATTTTTTTTTAGTATGTGAGTACATACAAGTGGGAATCAGAGGCCAACTAGTGAGGGTTGGTTCTTCATTATACCACATGGTTCTCAGGAATCAAACATAAGTTGTCAGATGTGGTGACAAGCTCCTTTATCTGCTGAGCTATTTTGCTGGCCCCAACTTCTTTTTTTTTGAGACCAGCTCTTTCGCTGAAACCTCGGTCTTGGTGTTTTTAGGTAGGCTGCACGGTTAGTGAATCCCCAGGTTACACCTGTCTCCACCTCTCTGGCATTTAGCTTTTTATGTGAGACCTGGAGATCTGAGCCTCACACTTACCCTTCAAGCATTTTCCCCTCCAAGCTGTCACCCTGTTGCCTACCTTATGTTTCTTTCTTTTTCTTTTTTCTTTTTTTTCTTTTCTTTGATTTTTCAAGATAGTGTTTCCCTGTGGCTTTGGAGGCTGCCCTGGAACTAGCTCTTGTAGACCAGGTTGATTTCAAACTCACAAAGATCTGCCTGCCTCTGCCTCCCGAGTGCTGGGATTAATGGTGTGCGCCACCACCGCCCAGCCCTTATGTTTCTTTTATAGGGTTGGAGGGCATGTGGCATGCATGCCGCTGACACAAGAACAGCAGCAGGAAATACTTTTATTTACTTGAATTTTAGAACACACGTCAAGTATCTGGAATATACGGCTTCATACTTGGACTCTGCATTTCAAGAAACAGACTACCAAAGGACTATAGTTGTTTTACTTAAGATGTTCACCAGGTGCCCACTTGTTGATCTGAGAAATATCTGGGGTCTGGTTCCCACATTATATTTGCATGACTTTCAGAGAATGACCCTACCTCATCTAGCAGTAAGTGCTTGACAGTCCTTTCTGCTATGACACTGGCAACAGATCGTATAAACTGATCAGATTTGGTTTCCTTCTTGGGTATTTATGAGTGGTTCATTTTCTAGCCACTGCTGAGCCATCTCTTACAGTCTTGAGTTGTCATCTGAGGATGGCTTAATTAGGAATGTTTTTGCTTCATACTCTACCCTTGGGTCATTAAAATTTGCAATGGAAAATATGATAATGGGAAAATAAATTATTTAAATCTATTATTAATCTGAAGTTCTTAAATATGTATCATGGGATCTGTAAAACACTGTGCTGAAAAAAATCTACAGGAGGAAATTCTTATTCTTCTACATCCTGCCTCATAAAAATTACATGTAGCTAGTAATTAATATTTCACAGATGTACAGCAACAAATATTTAATTTTTTCTAAATGTACTGCATGAATTTACATAGTCAACATGTCTTTCAGGAGTAGTCTACCTGATTACAATTATTTAGACCATCTGATTTTAACCAATTACGCTAAAACATGTCCTTCAAGAAGCCATTTTAATTAAGAGATAATTGCTGCTATCCAAAGCAGCAATTGAAAGAACATCTGGGGGTGGGGTAGGGGAGTGGGGCTAGGGGTGGTGGCAGTGAGGCACGTTTGTAATCCCAGCATTCAAAAGGCAAAACAGAAGGATCGTGAGTTTGTGGCCTGCTCAGCAACAGTAGTAACAAATTCCGGAATCATTGCTATTTATTAGGACATTGTAGCTAGTGTGTCAAAAGTACATTTGCGAGGTCGGATTTTATTCTTACCAAATTTCTGTACTAGAGAACACTATAAAAAGCAGAAATACCCACATAAGGTATGGAGGAGGTGGTTAAGGGATGCAGCTAACATTCTGGTGTTAATTCACAGGGATATGAAGAAGCCGAGGTCGCTCTAAAAGGGCGTGCGGGATCCCCAGATTCCTGGGCAAGAAATCTAACCAACAGGAATCCAAATCCGAGGGGCAGGGTGAGGAATCCAGGTTCACCGACCTTAGGAGAGAGGGATGTCTGCGGGTTAGCAACAGTCTGGGGGTAAACAGGGAGCTCCCAGATTCCGCTCAACCCCGGGAGGGGCGGGGCTGCTGGATAGGCGGGGCTAATGCACGGGAGGGGAGGGGCGAGGGCCTCCGGAGGGCGGGGCCGCGCATCCCCCCTCACTCGCCCGCCCGCCCGCCTGTCATCTGGGCTCGGGAGCGCGCGGCGCGGCACCGCCGGGCGGTGGAGGCGAGGCGGCGGCGAGACTCGAGCGCCGCAGGTGACCCCGGCAGGGAGCCGGGTGCGCGGGGCCGGCTGAGAAGCAGCGGGCTGGAGGCGGGCACCCCCCGTTGGGTTGTCTCTCAGCCTAGGCGCGGGGCTGAGGAGACGCTGTGAGCTCCGGGACGCGCCAGGCTCCCTGACGGCCGGCGGCGCTAGCGGCCCTCCCTCGGCATGTTCGGCGAGGACAGGCTCTTCCTCCCGCCCGTGGGCTGAGGCGGCGGCGGCCACACGAGCGAGAGATGCACCTGCCGGGTTCGGCTTAGAGGAGCGTCCGGGCCGCCAGCCCGAGAGCTTTCGTCGCCCAGACCCGGCGGCGACCGCGGGCCCGAGCCGCAGCGACGGGTGGGCGCCCGGACATGGCGGCCCGGAGCGCCCCGAGCTGCCACCTGCGGCTCGAGTGGGTGTACGGCTACCGGGGCCACCAGTGCCGCAACAACCTCTACTACACGGCGGCCAAGGAGATCGTGTACTTCGTGGCGGGGGTCGGCGTGGTGTACAGCCCCCGGGAGCATCGGCAGAAGTTCTACCGCGGCCACAGCGACGACATCATCAGGTATGTGCTCCCGGGGAGCGCTGTCAGCCCTGCCAAGCGCTCTCGGAGTTTGCACCAGCCTGTCCTTCTGGAAGTCGTGCCCGCTCCTGCTAAGGAGCATCACCCAGGGATGCAATGTGCATCTGTCTGGTCACTCTGCTTTCCCCATCTCCTTATTCTGGGGGAGCCTCCTTGGGGCGGGGGTGTGTGGATCGTAAAGACGGTCGGTCCGCAGGTCATTCGCTTCGATGGCTTTGTGACCTTTCCCATTCCATCAAAATCAGGAAACTTGTCGAAAGGTTGTTTGGCTAACGCTCTCTCTCTCTCTCTCTCTCTCTCTCTCTCTCTCTCTCTCTCTCTCTCTCTCTCTCTCTCTCTCTCTCTCTCTCTCTCTCCTTCCTTCTTTCTTTTCTTTTTTTTTTTTTGACTCTGTGATTGATTGTCTGTTAAAGCAAATCTTATACAGCGAGGGGTAGGAAATACTTAACAGAAGACTGACCCAAGCTCCTCCTGGGGAGCGCATCACACAGTGTCCAGGAGGGTACTCAACTCTTGGCCATAGTTATTAGTTCAGGTTTCACTACCAGCAGAGAAACTCAGGTGTTACTCTCAAGGCAATTCCCGGGAGGTTAAAATTCACACTGGAAGGCAGTTTGAGGGTATGTCTTATATGAGAAATAATCCCACTGATTTCCAGTTCTGTTGTTTATCTTCATAAGAGTAATCTTAAGTTTACTTTCCTGTTTATAATTTAAATCACGGGGTGTGTGTATTTTAGTCTTCATTGATCTGCATCTCAAAGTTGGTCGTGATGTTTACATTTCTATAGGAAGCAGTACACATAAAAGCTAGTTTTCAGCATCCCAGCCGAGCTTTTTATGTTAAAGTTAGGAGTTTTAGAATTGATTATTACCTCAAGCACATTTTTGACTTCTGTCGAAGTGACTGCATTATAGAAAAATATTGAGAGTGCGTTTGTGTTGCTGCTTCTTTTAACACAGGTTCTGGGATCAGGCTTAATTTTATTCCTTCGTGGATGTTTCACAAGATTCAAATTAGGCACTTCAAATCAGCACCGTCAGTAAGATGCTCTGAGCGGTGTTGGAATTCAGTGAAGTTGTGTTATTTTGGCTCTCTGTGCATACATACGAGGCAAGAGGATCTAAGGCCAGCAGGTCAGATAGGATGGAGCAAAGAGTAAGCAGAATTTGACTTTGTGGAGTATAGAAGGCATGGTGGGGGCTTTTATTATCATTCACTTGTTTTTGTTTTTGCTTTTTTTGACACTGCAGTGAAGGTTTTCTAGATTGTACATTTTGGAAAGGAACCTGAGAGGCAATTTTATTCTCCTAAAATTAGGATGTATTTTTCCTCTGTGGTGGTGGTGATGAGGGCCTCAGACCTAAGTCCAAAATCGCTAACTTGAACAGAAGAAAGAATAATTACTGGCCTTGTTATTCACCCCCAGAGCAGAGTTATCCCAGTCTCTTTTCTTTACCCCCAGTCTTGTCAGATCTGTCCTTCTCCATGGACCAGGTCTCTAGTTTTACCTACATGAAGTAGCTTTGGGTACCACCACCCCCCCATGTTATTAGGTCAAATTCAGTAAGTGGTGCAGGTGTGAAGAATATTGAAGTCTTTTTATTTGTTTGTTTGTTTCTCCCTGTAACTTTGTCTTGGAACTTGCCCAGTAGACCAGGCTGGCTGGCCTCAAACTCACAGAGATCCACCTGTTTCTGCCTCCCAAGTGCTGGGATTAAAGGCATGAGCCACACTGCCTGCCTGAATATCAAAGTCTTTATAGTGAGTGCAATACATTTTTTTTTCTATTTGTGAGAGCCACATTATATTCAGGAGTTCCAAAACATGATGTGATTTGCTTGAGGAGAGACTAAGTTATGTCTCCATTCTTTTAGCAGTAGTTAGAAGCTATATTACATGCCACACTGCCTGAAATATGTTATTTATTTATTTATTGTCATACTCCAGGTTGAACCCAGGTGAAGTGAACACATAGTCAAGTGCTGTATCACTGAGCTACACTGACTGCAATTTTCATATTTCATTTCAGTCAAGTGTAAGGAAGGCCATATTTTTGCCTTCTGCAAGAGTTGTGCAACCCATAAATATCTCAATACTTCCAAACAGAAGACCTGCTCAACATGTCTGTGATTTGATGTCAATCATATATTTTTATATAATTTATGACACTATAAAAGGACTTCCTGAAAAGTTGTAGTGGGTGGTAAAATCTGAACCATACAGTGTAGTAAAAATGGTGGCACAAATTTAATACAGTACTAAGAATATAATTGAGAAATCAAAGTGCTTTGGAAATTGTATTTCAGATAATGACAGATTATTCTTGTGAAATAAAACAGTCAAACATTAAACCTGTTTCTTTTTTCAATACAGTGCTTGACCTATAAGCATAGAAACCATTCCAATAAGTATTCAATTATTTCACAGCAAAAGATACAGCATTCATAAATGTGATGGATAATTGAAAGCAATTTATGATATTAGCCTTAATAATGGAAATGTTCTCATCAGTTTTGTTCCCATATCTGCTTAAAATTTGCTTGTGATTTATTGGTGAAATATAACTCGAGGCTAAGAACAGGTCATTGTTATTTGATTTAAAAAATGTAAGGGCTATGTTGGTTGTAGTTTGAATAGTTTGTTACTTGGTGCTTCTGTAACCTTACTGTCATCTAGGATGGCTCAAGGTGATTTCAGATGACATCACATCGTTTTATTACATCACTTATGGCTGTCTTCCTTCTTTTGCCCTGCATCTGTGTGTACTGTTCTTCTCTGGTCATTTATCTTTTATTGGTATTTATCCCAGTAACTTGTTTATATTTGGACGTTGAGCATCAATGTCAAAACAATGCATGACTTCTTCTTTGTGTGTGGTGCGTGTGCATGTGTGAACTGTTTCAAGTTCTGTTTCAGTGCCTCTATTCCTTTGGTGTTAGCAACCATTTTTATACTGTTATATTGCTAGTTCTAGTTTTAAGAAAAGATTCTTATTAGTGGCCTGGTCTGAAACTTTTTCTTTGAAAAGTTTTGAAACTTTTGCTAATTGGCTCCTCTCCCTCCACCAAGATTTTATAGCTTTTAAGTTATGATTTTCTTGTTACTGTCCATCAACATTCATTTGGCAAAGTAGTGGATATTATTAAAAGTTTTTAAATTCTGTATACCAGGAAGGACCATGGATGGGATATAGTTAACTCGGTGTGTTTTCACATTAGCCTCTGGTTTATTCAGTTGTCCCAATCTTATAGATGTAGAATTTAAAATGTTTAAAAATGAATTCCATCCATTCCTTCAAAAGACTGTGTTTCTCCCTATTTTCCTTAAAGACTCAGCTTATATATTCTGGGAAACAGTACTATCATGTCATACTCTTGTGTTATAACAGATTATTTAAAGTTGTTTTACTACTTTCATCCCCCTCCCATTTGCCTTTGGCTCTAGTTTGCCATAGCCATTTCTCTCAGGATCACCAATGACTTAACACATTGCAGTGGCTGGTTATCAGTTTACACCTTTTTGGATTTTTGTCACCATTTAACACATTTGATCATGTCCATCTTATTAAGAAACTTTCTTTAAAAAATCCCAAAAATTGTACAAATTTTGATATGTATATATTATGTAATATTTAAATCTATGTAATATACATTTATAATTTCTTTTTGGTTAAAACATTAAAAGTCCTAGTTTTATGAAATACAGACTACATTTTCCTTAACTATAGCCATCCTATTGTGCAGTACCAGACTTCTTAGTCCTAACTCTAATTTAGGATTCATTGATCTTATCCCTGCCTTCTATCTTGTTTTCCCTAGTCTCTTATAACCACCATTTCTAATCTCAAGTGTATGAGATCAGTTTACAAAACAATCCCATATATGAGTGAGATCTTGTGGTTTTATATGTACTTTGTTTTATTTTCCTTAGCAGTGATCTCAAGTTATAACTATGTTGCCAAATTGATAGGATTTTTCCTCTTTATGGTTGAATAGTATTTTAGAGAGAGAGAGAGAGAGAGAGAGAGTGTGTGTGTGTGTGTGTGTGTGTAAGACTAAGGAGAAAGATTGGGACTGTTAAGAACATTTTTGGTAGGTGCTCAGACATGGTGGAAGGGAGTCCTCACTGTTCCGGTGATACTCTAGAGACTTGGAAGTAGACCGTGTAGAAATCTGAGTAAAGGACAGAGTAGGCAAAGGGACTCCTTTCCATGAAAGTTCTGAAGTAGAAATCCTACTGGATTTGAAGAACAGTAAGAGAATTGGTGTAGCTGGACTACCATGAACTTGGGTTCAGTGAGGTAAAGATAAAAGGAGTAGATTTTGTAGGTCTTCTGTCTGAGACTGGAAGTTTGCTTTTTTTTTTAAACAGTTGTGATGGTTTGAATAAGAATGGTACCCATAGGTTTATTGATTTGAATGCTTAGTCATCAGGGAGTGGTACTACTTGAGAAGGCATAAGAGGTGTAGCCTTGTTGGAGTAGGTGTTGAAGAAGTATTGCCTTATTGGAGGAAATGTGTCACTGGGGGTAGGTTTTTAGATTCCAAAGCTCAAGCCAGGCCCAGCCTGTCTCTCTTCCTGCTATCTTTGGATCTAGATATGGAACTCCCAGCTACTTCCCCAGTATCATGCCTGCCTCTCTGTTTGCCACCATGCTCCCTGCCATGATAGTAATAGACTAAACTGCTGAAAGTGTAAGCAAGTCCCGATTAAATGCTTTCTTTTATAAGAGTTGCCATTGTATGGTGTTGCTTCACAGCAACAGAACACTGACCAAGACAGAAATTTAATGAAGTTACTGACTTGGAGAATAACAAAGTCACTGACTTCAGAATGTATATTCAGAATACTGGAGAAGAGGTGCAGGAGAGAAACCTGTGAGGGGCCTGTTGTAGTACTTCTCTCTGGAAGTGTTGATGCCCTGTACCAATCACCAGATATTGGGAAGAGCAGTCAGAAAGGTAAAATTTAGGGGTATT